AACCAATTCGAATTACATGTTATAGTAAAAAATATATCCGATTTTTCATAATGTTGCACAAGAGCCATTCCATCCATGTATTTTCTTTGCATATCACGAGGCCCACATGTAAATGATTGTGGTAAAACAAATTTTCTTCCAACTTCGCATCCTTTTGTTTCCCCATTTTGAAAACGATCTACAACACCTTGGTAAAGTTCAGCATGAATTTGTTTTTGGTTATTGCGAAAATAATCTAATCTAGTAGTTTCTATTTTAACGTACATATCTACAACATATTGTTGAAAAAATCTACTGGCGTGAAGTAACACAGACTTACCAAAATACCTAATCTGTAATTTATATGAATAATATTCTCGACAAGATACCTGAGTACGTTTTTTCGCTTCATTGAGCACTACAAAACCCAAAGGGTAACTAAATTCAATATTTCTTGATAACGTAAGATAACGTAAAACATAAAAAATTCTGGCAAATGATATATTTACAAACATTCGTTCTCTTTTTCGATAATTTCAACTGCAGAAGTAGTTGTGTTAGAAAAAACATCCAATGTTGACATACAATCAGACTAGAAATTCTTATTTCTATATCTCTCAATGCCTTCATGTCAACCAGATTCCCCATATAGAAAAAGTAACGAATATGCAATGGATCATAACACCCATAATAGTAATGAACTTTGTGTGAATCATTAGAATGACCATATATAGTGATATCACGAGCACGAACATTAGCATTTGTATTATCTTCTACCCATATAGCAGCTACTTGAGATGCTGTAGAAGTATTGAAAACTCTTTGATCAAGTCTTGGATTACATCGTATATGTATTTGATGATTATGCAAGTTAGTCATATTACTTAAATATCTAAAGAATTTACTGTATGGATTTGTTTTTAAAATTTCGATTAAATCAACTAAAGTAAATTTAACAAAGTTTGATGAAATTTTCATACGATTTTCAACTTCATTTTTTGTATCGTAAAAATATAATTGTATATAAGAAGGCGTATTATTTTTTGAAAGAAATTCATTTATATAATGATGCACTTGTCCTTGAACTTTGAATGTGTAAATACCTTTATACGTTTTAAAAAGTTATTTATCGTATTTTACACCGAATGAAGTGAAAGCAAAATAATTATTGTATCCCCTTACAATTTTTTTGAATTCCATACAATGTAGTTATTTAGAAGTAAATAAATTATACAGTTGAACTGGTGAATCACATATAAAAAGTTTAATTTTTTCATCTGAACAACAAAACCCTTTACTTTCTCTATAAAATTTATGTGCATTACAATGTTTACAATAACTGGATATTGGCAATACATGTGTAGTAGATGATATGTTCAATCCTTTGAAAGATATTGCAAATTCAGAATAAAAAATATTATGTGATTTTTGATTTGAAGTTGAAGCATTAGAATTTTGATGCATTATGGATTCATGTAGCTGAGTAACAACAAAATAATTATTTTCCGATAACATAGGATCATTTCTTCTTTTATGATAATCACTACAATTATTTCTAAATCTTATTCACCTTTCTCTCTCTCTTTGAACTCGTTGTTGGTGACAGAAGGCTCTGTGCAACTCATTCCCACTTTTAGAGACAATATCAGAGTTAACAATAACATGATCTTCATGAATAGACGTTTCCAAAATATCCATCACGATAGCAGAAAGAACTACTAAATATTTCAACTCCAATCTAAGCAATACAATCTAAAATAATCCATAAACATTATTAGCAAATGTGTTAAGCCATTCATACACAAAAACCAAAATATATAAAAATCAAGAATTAGTTACAACAAACTGTTAAAGATATATTAAATTAAAATCAAGAATTAGTTACAACAAACTGTTAAAGATATATTAAATTCATTCAACTTTTTAACAATGTAAAAATTATATAAACATCAATAATACAAAATTTAAATATTAATGAGAAATATACATAAATATGCTTTAAGTAACGACAAAGAGAACAGTAAACAACAATAATGGTAAAAAAAAAAGTATTTAATTATACAAATAAACAAACAAACAAAAATAAGTTAAAAATAAACTAAACTTTAACTTTTTTAGATGCTTGAACTCATGCTAGACAATTAAATAGTTTAGTTACAGTTATAGTTAAAATGAAAGACAGAAAAAAATTAAACAAATAAAAAATTTGAAATTTCAGATAGTTCACCTTGCAAAAACATATAGTTTAAATATAATAAATTTTCAAAATTTTCATTATTCCTATATTATATCAAAAATCATACGCACAAATTTCTTCGTTAATCCACAATAGTATAGATACATGATTAACACAATACTCATTTCCCAAGCCAATATTTTCATTTTGACAAACTGCATTTAATGCTTTCTTCTTTCTCTACTTTTTCTAATTTTTTTCCATTCACTTCTATAATAGACAATATGTTCATACAGAAAAGTAAAAACATTTGATAATGTTATTCAATCCATCGTTGTAAATTTCTAAATGTCTAAAAAAATAGTTAACCATATCATTCTTGATTATATGTTATTTCTTTTCCTTTCGTTCATTCTAAGCTATTTTATAATTCCATCAAATCATTATTACAAAAAACTATTTATTAATGCACTACAAAAAGAAAATAATAAATCTCGAAGAATAATTTTAACAAGTCTTCAATCCCATAAAACAGCACCCACAAATTTAGCAAAAATTCATCACTTCCCTGCTTTTCAAAATCATGAAACAAATATAACTGATCTATGAATAACCATTACAATTTATCAAATGTTAAAAGAAGTATGAAGTAAATACTAATTTTCAAAAATAAAAACAAACTCAACAAACAGATTTAGCAACAAAAGGTTAAAGATTATTTTTATAAAACTCAATAATGAACAAATTTGAAGGGAAGATAAAAGTTAAAAAAAAAAAAAAAAAAGTTTCCAAAAACTTCATCTTAGCCTTCAACTCCTCAATCTCCCGCTTGAAGTCCCTTTCCTCTGTAGATAGAGAAATTTTTTCACTTTTTTTGCATTTTGATGGATTGTCCACAAAAAGAGTATTTATTTTACAAACAATTTATGGCTTTTGTCAACACAAGAAAAATAATGTCTTCCTTTCGTTTAAGAGAAAATTTTCACGAAACTCGGTTCTCTGTAATGAAACCAGTTTGTCATTTTGAAAGTTTTCTTTTAATTTATGGATAGCTTATGTGATAAAATCATATTGATATTTTTTTTAGACAGACAAGTACCGCCTTCTAAAGTTAACAATGAAGGCTAATTAAATTCATTAATGTAAATAACATTTTTAGCCGCCACAAGAAACCATTTTTTGCCTCTACAGTAACTGACTTTCAAAAAGCAAATACATCCAATAAAATACTATCATTAATTCATTTATATCAATTTGCTTTCATTTAATATACAAATGTTAGGCAACAAAATGATTTTATGTCACGATTTACGAAGGACTATAAAAGTTAAATAAATGTTTTTCCATTGTCAGAACATATCTTGCATGAAATCATTAAATACTCTCATTAATAATGTGAATGACATTTTATGCCGCCACAAAATACCCTTTTTAACAGTAACCCACTCACATAAAACAAATAAATCCAATAAAATAGTATACATGCTAGACAACAACAAAATTTTCAACAATGAAGGCTGAATAAATATTTACTTTTGGCACAAGGAGTATAAAAGTCAACAATGAAGGCTAATAAATATTTTTCTCTACCATTCTTGCACAAAAGCATTCATCTTGCACAAAATCATTAAATACTGTCATTAATAATGTGAATGACATTTTATGCCGCCACAAAGTACATTTTTTATAAGCTACAGTAACTCACTCACATAAAACAAATAAATCAAATAAAATAGTACACATGCCAGACAACAACAAAATTTTCAACAATGAAGGCTGAATAAATATTTTCTTCTGGCACAAAGAGTATAAAAGTCAACAATGAAGGCTGATAAATGTTTTTCTCTGTCATTCTTGCACAAAAGCATTAAATAATGTCATTAATAAATTTTTTAATGCTTTTTAACGGAACCGATTTATCTCTAGTACTAAACCAGTTATGTGTGAATCTTCTGCCTCAAGATGAATAGTACTTTTTGCATTCTCTCTTTTATAGGAAAGGGGTTATATGGAAGGGAATTGGTGGGGACAGGCGTGCTGCAGCTAAGTGACTCTTTAGAATTTTTTGCACTGATTTTGATCCATTTTTGATGATATCATTTGTAAGAGGTTGAGAAAATTTGTGCTTATTAATTTTTTTGGACATTAATTTTGGATAGTTTAAAAATACTCAGAAGTGATGAAGTATAATTTTGCTCGTTTTTTACGATCTACTAAATTAATGAACTTTGATCGTTTTTCACGTAATTTTATCCTTTATAAAATAATTATGTACAATTAACATATTTTATTCAAAACTAACTTATAAATAAAAATATATTAATTTAAGAATTATTTATATTAAAAAAATTACTTATAAGATAAAAATCACTATTGCGTAAAAAATTGTTCATAAAGTGAAAACATTACTAATAAGACAAAAAATTACTTATAATTAAAAAATTCTTTTATGTTTAAAAATGGTTTAAAAGTTAAAATCACTTATGACTAAAATATATATATATATATAAAATTAAAAATTGAAAATTTTACTGAGGACATATATGTAATTTTATTCTCCTAAAAAACTTTTAAAGTTGATGAATAATAATTAATAAATTCTCAAATATAGATTAATTTATTTTAGAAATGGCTTATAAAATCATTCAAAATCGATAGGATTTAAAAAAAAAAAAAAGGGCTCCTAACCGCTGTCCTAAACCCCTAAGCAGCCCTAAGGGTATTTTCTTCATATTACACTAAAGTTGGGGAACAAAAATTGTGAACTGTGAAATTGTGGAAGAGAGGGGGAAAAGGGAGACCTGTTTGGTTGCACTGACTTCATTATCAAACTTGGAAGGTAGTATCGGATTTATTTATTTGTGTCTTGCGAATGATTTAATTTCAACTCAACTCCTTAGAATTTATAATTTTATTTTATTTTTTTCAAAATTGTTGTTTCTTGATGATAATCTTCCTCTAGCAACGATTTCTCGACCTCATCTCGCTTGAATTTTTGATGCGGCGCCCCCTAAAGGGTAATCGGTGAAATATCCAGACCAAAATTTGCGCCCTGCGGTTATTATTAATATTGAAGTTTGATAAATTAGATTGTTGTCCTGTGTTAATCTTCTGGTGATTCGTAAGTAATTTTGTCTCTTGGATTTCTAAGAGGAATTATTGATAGTTATTTTGTCTAAAAAATAAAAATTAAAAGCACAAAGCTGAGGCTGAGGCTGAATTTGTAAATATTTCCGGAAAATATTAATTTTAAGCTGGGATTTCTTAATTTCTTTATTTGAAAATAGATGGAAAAGAGAAAGGTTTCCTGGATGCAAGTAATGTTATAGTATTGAATCTGGAATCCCAGAGATTTTAATTCAAATTGAACTGCTACAATTCCCATTTTTATGGTTTAAAATTACAACCAAATAAGTCTCATTCTTAATGAATTTGTGGTTGGCAGTTGGCTTTATGACTTTATTTTCTTTGCTCGGCTCAGTTTATTGCTATTGCTATATCTATCTGAAATAGTTTTCTATTTCTAAAATTCTATTCGATCTATATTACCATCTCTTCTTAAAGTTATGCATTAGCTAACTATTTCATTTGGAACTGGTCAGTTTTCTTAAGGAAGGTCTCTCTTTTGCTTCAGAGAAGTGACAAATAGTTGTTCTTAAAATGAAGGAAGAAGAAATAAATAGATGTCAGATTCAGGAATGGTATCCAAAATTTAAATCTGTAACCATAAAAACCCATATTCATGAGCTTCCGGAGTCCTTTATCCAGTACCTTCTCGATGATTCTGGTCCCTTCCTTCTGCCTCTTTCCATTTCAAATGATGATGCCCTGCCGAAAAGAGTTAGTAAGCCCGAAGAGGAAGAAGATTATGTAGTGTCGGAAGGGTCTGGAGATGAAGCCGTAGAACCATCACCTCCTCCTCGTTTCCCAGAACTAGAAATGATGATTAAAGAATCCATTGAATCCCTTGGGGGTGCTGCATTTCCCAAGCTTAACTGGAGTGCACCTAAAGACTCTGCATGGATAAGTTCAACTGGGAATCTCAAATGCACCACTTTCTCTGAGATTGCTCTTTTACTGAAGTCGTCTGACTCTCTGGTCCACGATCTTTCTCATGCATATGATCTGTGTAGTGACAAGACTGCATCAAGGCCATTGATATTTTACCTCGCACTTCGCAAGTGGTTCTGTTCCCTGCAGCCTCATATGGAATTTCGCTGCTTTGTATGCAATCGGAATCTTTTGGGAATTTGCCAACGCGAGGTCACTAATTTTTATCCCGTTCTTCTTGAGAAAGATGATTTGAAAATGATTATCAGAGATTTTTTTGTCGAGAAGGTGATGGAAAATTTTGTCTCTGAAAGTTACACATTTGATGTTTATGTCACAAGAGATGGGCGAGTAAAGATTTTGGATTTTAACCCTTGGGGTGGATTTACCTTGCCATTATTGTTTACTTGGGATGAATTAGAGCACAAGGTAAAGGAAGAAGGCTACGAATTGGAGTTCAGAATTATACAGAACCGCTGTGGGATTCGTCCAGGTTTAAAGACTGCAGTTCCTTACGATTATCTGGATATGAGCCCAGGTAGTGGTTGGGATCAGTTCCTAAGGAAGGCCGATGAAGAATCAAGGCGGCAGCTAAAATCTACTGAAGCAGGTTGATGAGTATCTGCTTATTTATGGTGAGTTAATTGGTGCTTTTTCTCACGTAAAATTCCAGTAGATGGTAGAAATTGCTACCTTCGGGTTTTTGTTTTGAGAATATCATCATGATCTAGAAAGCACAATAGGCATGAAGTGCCCCTTACAACTGCAAAAACTACAATATTTCTTAATGTTCTAAATAGATGATTGCAGCTAATTTCATCTTTATGCTACCCTCGTGTTTGATCTCTCTTCTTGTTTATAGTTTCATTCGATTTTTGTAAATTTGGCAATTGTTATTGATGTAGAACATCACTTAAAAGGTGGGCCTGTTTTAGTTAGGAGTTGACTCAAATGGACCATGCCTGGGATGGATTCCCGAGCTTAATTTTGGGCGATGAAGGATATGATTGCACCTAATTAGTAGCCTTTGAAAATAGTGGTAGCATCTCCCTACATATTTATGCTTAGACAAGATTAATGCTGAGCCTTTTCGCTTTACACAGTTTAGACGGTTGCACTAATTACTTTTTACCGTTTGCTTGAAGTAATTTTTCCTTACTGCCTTTTCGTAAGTTGCTATGCATGATCAGAACTGGAAACTTTGCAGGAATGGCGTATAATCCAGTTCAAGCTCATTTAATACCTTTGCTCCCCTGGCCCGGTAATAATCATTTGTAAAGGGGGTCGATGAAATTGCACAAGGGGACTGCTCATGGCACGTTGAATAGAACTAGAAGAGGGCCGGCCCTAAAAAATATGAGATCCCAGGCGATAAATTGGTATGAAACTCTTAAATGTAAATGAAATGAACACTTTTAAAATAAATAACTTATTTTTAACTTTCATAAAAATTAATTTATAAATTTTAAAGAAACTTTATAAGCTTAGCAAAAAATTGTATGGAAGATTTCCCTAATTTTTTTGAATTGATTCTTTTTCTAGATTTTGGTAGGTATGGGGGAAAAAAGAGAAAAAGAGAGAGAAATAGAACTGGGTAATAGTTTAATTGTAGGTCCATTTTATTTATTAAACCAAGAATGTAACTGAAGTGCCCAAATATTTTGGACCTCGTATTTAGTCCCATTTTGTTGTATTGTTGTTGCTTTTTAAAGGATAACTAAGCCCAACTCGAAAAAATAAAGAGAAATTTTTGTTAGATTTTTTGGGATTTAAATTAGGGAAAAATTCATATATCAGGTGTATTATTTACACCAATTCAAAAATCAGGTAAAAAGTTTGAAAGTTCAAAATTTAGGTATATATTTAATTAATTAAATATGATAAAGTCACTGATATAGAATTAATGGTCACTGGTACACAATTGTAAGTCATATATCATCAAATTAATTGGTTACAGATTATTTCGAGGACACATATTATCAAATATTTATATTACAATTAAACAGTTGGTCACAAATAACTAAATGGTTGGTTACTTAAGCCAAATAGTGGTCTCATATCACCATCACCAACACTATTGCACCTCCACTGCCATCATGGACACCCTCATCATGTTATTGTCATCGCCATCACTTATTTATTGATCACATATTATTAAATTAATTAGTCACGTATTATCAAATTAATTGGTTACATATTATTTCAATGTCACGAATCAAAAATTATATAGATAACAACTTATTTCGTTGGTCACAGATCAAAAAATTTATAGATCCCGGTTTATCTATCGATCACATATTTTCAAATTTATTAATCATAAGTTATCAAATTTTAAGGTCACGGTAGAAAATAGTTAGTCACAAAGAACTAAATAGTTGGTCATATACACAAAACACGTAACCGTTGATCTTGATCCCCCACTATTACTTAGTCACAAATCAATCAAATAGTTGGTCACAAACACTCTTCATCCCCTCTAGTCACAGTCGTCGTCGCTTCTGCCACCATCATTGTCACCGCCAACAATAACAACACAACCCACCACAATCCACATCTGCACAACTGGTCAAACACCATACACCGACAGTGTTGCCAACACCATTGCACACCCAACACACATACCACCACCGTATCCAACCTCACACCACCACCACCACCACCACCACCACCACAAGGAGCATCAACACCACCACCACACCCCGATTCCACCATTGTTTAAAACCACAGAAGTCCTAAACCACCACTACCACCACCACACGTAGCATTAATACAACCACCACACCCCAAAGCAACACCGCCACCACACATTGATGCTGCCCTTACTGAAAATAGTAGCTGTCCTAAACCACCACTACCACCACCATAAGCAACGTCAACACCACCACTCACCCTCATTCCGCAATTGCTGAAAACAACATCTGCACGAAAATCACTAGCCGCTATAAAGATCTTCAAGCACGTAATGACACCTCCGCCGTTCAGATTGTCAGTGTGTCGTATACCACCACTAGAAATCACGGTGCCATCGCCCCATAATCAACTAAAATGGGGTGTAATCAACAGCATCTATGTGGCAAGCATGAGCGTTGCCTTTAGCAGATTTGCAGCGGTGGTATCTTGTCGGAAAAGCTGCAGTGGCATTTGCAATCGAAACATTTCTGCATTTGCAGCTTTGCAATGATGTCTGCATGAGATTTGCATTTGGAATAGCTCGTCGGAGCTTAACTCATGGTGGTGTGTCGAGTGCCGGATTGACGGCAAAGAACGAGGAGAGAGTTAAGATAGAGAGAGATTTAGGTTTTTAAAATGATGGTGAGGTTGATTAATTATGATATTAGTATTAATATTAAAATATATAATTATTACCTGATTTATGATTAATTAAACTTTGAACCTGGTTTTTTAAAGTAATCTTTTAATACCGATTACTCTGTAATTTCCACTTTAAATATTTTCGAGGCCTTCTATATCTTGAGGCCCAAGGAAATGGCTTAGTTTGCCTTGGGTCAAGGTCGAGCCTGAACCAGAAGTTGGTGCAATAGCTAGCCAAAAATGGCGTGTTATAGGCAATATCAAGAAGTGTCGACCCTGACTATAGACGGAGTAGGCGATTATCTAAGACCCCTCATTTAGTAAGGGCCCCCAAATTTTTTTATTAGGTATATAAAATAAAGATTTTTCTTTTTTTCTTTTTTTAAGAAAATTTAAATTCTTAAAAGTTTAAAAGGAGTCTTTAATACACTATTGACTTTACATTGCGCATGTTTTTTTCGTTGTTTTTAGGTTGACTCTTTGTTTTCTCTCTTTTTTCTCATTTTTTTTCTTTGCCATTTTTTTCTGCATAATCATGCCTAGGCGCCCATTAGCAGTCAATGATTGCCGTTGAACGCTAAATAAGGCGCCAAGCCATTTGGCTTGATGTTTGCGCTGCGCATCCCGCCTAGGCGCCAAGGCGTGCCTTTTAAAACACAATTTCAAGTTTTATTTTATTTTCTATACTTATTAGTCATCCTTAATTCTCCGTCCCCAAATTCAACCCTCTACAAATTTTATAGCTTACATTTACAGTTTTTGATAGTAATATTGATATGTATAATTTTATTTTATTTTATTTTTTAAAAATTCACCTCTTTGGGTATTCTTATTTTTCTTTTTGGTATTTTAAAATTTATTCGTCTTTCGATATTGATAGGAACGTATTAAAATTGTTAGTTTTTTAATTGTTAGATCTATATCCCATTTGATATAAAAGGAAAGCATTAATGCTTACTGACTAGAGTACTAGAATCATTAATGACATTTTACATATTATGTGGTTATAATAGTCATAGTCCCATTTGATTCTCATTCTTATAAGAATGAAAATGAAAAATATAGTCGTTATGGGATCCACACAAGAGAGAGGAAGTCAAATATGATGACTTGATGTGATGGATAACAGTCATATTTTTCATTTTTTTGCCAAAGAATGGAAAACAAACGGGACCTTAATATTATACTTTGTGACAACACGATAATCTTCTGAAATATTTGTATAATGTAAGTTGTGTTTTTTTTTTCGAGAATATCCATTCTATATTCATTTGAAATAAATATAATTTTAATAATACTGTTTCATGAACATAAATATTCAATTCTGTTAAAAAAATAATAATAATTAAATGTATTTTTCGAAAATATTCAAGAATTTAAAGTTGTGCTGTTTCGGATCAATAATACCATTATGTATCAAAATACAAACATACGCTTGTTTAGGATCATTAGCTAAATCAACAGATTTTAACGGTGTAAAACTTTACAAATATGATATTTAATATAATGAAATGACTTTTAAGAATAGATTTACTTCGATTTGAAAGATTTAGAAAACCTTGAATCGTAGTTATTTCTCACAAAAGATTTCAAAGACGTAAATTCGAAAAATTGTAGTATTTAAAAAATCGCTGTTGTTTACGTGGCTATTTTTCATAAATAAATCGTTGAATTTTGATCTTAAACGTTGGATTAGAAGAACATTAAGGCCCCGTTTGATTGCACGAAATTTTCCATGGAACTTGGAATTCGAATTCCAACTTCCACTTTTGGCCTGTTTGATTGACAAAATTTTCCAGGGAATTGATTTTCCATGAATTTCTAGGTACAACACCTTAAAGCGTGATTTTCCACCTTTTTTTTTCCTAGGGGATAGGTGGTTTTTGGTTTTCCACCTTTTTTTTTAATTTTTTTTTGGCTTTTTTTATTTTTTTTTTTAATTGTTGGCAATGGGAACAAATTTTAGGAATAATTGTAAAAGAGGATATTCCTGAAATTGACAATTTTCACGTAAAACAAAATCAAACGAACATCAAAAAATACTTTTACTTCAACATTTTCCACGTGAAAAATTTATACAATCAAACACAATAATTTACAATTTCCATCAAAACAATTTCTAGGTAATTCAATTCCTTGGAATTCATTTTCTTTCCATGTAATTTTCCTACTTGTAATCAAACGCACCCTAAGTTTTGAAGGTCTTGTCCAAATTCCATTACGATCGGATAATAGAATGTCGATATCAAATTTTCTGTTTATTTTGTGTGAACTTATTCGTGTTGATAACTTGTTATAAAACTAAAGGAATTCAAAACTAAAGTGTGTAATTTTATTATAATAATGCTCATATTTATATGTTTAAAAGGAAAGTTATAATATGGACTATTATAGTAGATAAGATTTATCCAAGTATCATGACAAGTCAAATAGTCATCAATATAGACATTTGATAGTTTATTATTATTTTTGTAATCTAGAACATTTTATTTAATAAAAAAAAATTATTATTATTTTTTTAATAGGACTCCATATTTAAAATTGAGAGCTGCTGGAGATTCAGGGCCACATGGCCCCTGGATTTCCAGGCACCCCCTAGGGGCGGGGGTGGATGAGAAGACATTTCCTTTAAAGTTAGCTTAAGGTCCCATAACCTCGGTGGAGACTTTCCACCTCTTCAGCATTTGAACGTATTGATATTTTTTTGCTACATGTTATAAGTATAGAGTTTTTTGACATAAAATCTTTACTAACAACATGACAAGGCATCATTGGAAGATGGAAAAAGAAAAATGTCCAACTGTGCACTGTCACATCAACTTCGGTACATATTCTGTAAAAAATTTCCTGTACTCACGGCATTTTTTTTTTTCAAAGAACATGGAGTTTTTCCCCTACCATGATAATGACTCACGGACTGGTAAAAAACAAACACGATGTTATTTTTCAAAAGCTTGATGGATTGAGTACAATAACTCAGTCTAAACTGCATCAAATAAGAGTGTTGCTACATAAAGAAAGCAAGTGACTAAGTTCAATGCAATCTCACGAACGACTCCCTGCCCTCCTCATGGGCGGCCAGCATCTTTTTCGCAGCCTTTTCAAAAAGTTCATGCAGTCTTGAATACTGGAACACTTTCAGAAGGTGGTAATGTCACTGAACGCAGTAGCTCCAACGAGAACACTAGCCCTAAAAAATGTGAAAGGATAGTATTTGCAGATGCCTGTAACACAAGAAGCAGATGAGAAGACACAAAATTTCTCATTATCTGCTATTAGAAGCAATTGTCAAGGCAGCAAACAGATTGCGTTTAGTTATGTTTTTTGGTTCACATATATGTGTAAAAATGAAAGATAGGAAATAAGAACATAACAAACTTTCGAATCATGAAATAAAAATTGGCAGGGCAGGTGCATATCTAGAAGATTAAAACCATATCAAGTATAAAAATGTTGGAACTAGTTCATGAAGAATACCTGCACCAAGAACACATCCAAGGCAAGAACAGGACTATTACCAGGAGGGATACCCTGGTAATAAGGATTGGCTGAAGTTGTAAGAGCTTTAGCCACCAACAAACCAACAGTTGCTTGCATACCAAGTATAGCAGCACCCATCCCCAACAGGTTTACTACTATTCCATTTTTCAGGCTTCTTACGACATCCGCACGAGGAGGAGCCTGAACACATTAGACTTGGGGCTGAATTAACTATATACAAAAAAAATAAAAAAAAAATAAAACTGAGTCTTATTGAAGTAATATAGAAGAACATGTGCAAGCTCGAAAGGAATTCAAGGATGAATATTTGTCATTTTTTTGCCAGCGCAAAATTGTTCTCTCTTTCCCTCAAAACATGCTTAAACTTGGCAATGTTCTGTAAATTATTCATCATCATTGATAAATGATATGGAGCCATAAGATTTAAGAAAAAACAAACAGGGGTGGCAAAATGGCTGAGTAGTTCGTCGGCTTGTCAAAGCTCCTCGTTTTGGGATGAGCTTGAGGTGGAGCTGAGCGGGTTCGTTCGGCGAGCCAAGCAAGCCTCAGCTCATCGAGTTTGTGAATGGCTCGTGGGCACATAAAAAATGTAAACAAAAAAAGTCAAAATATTTTTTTAAAAAATCTTGAGCTCGTGGGCTCGACTTGGCTTGAGTTGCTCAAGCTCGGCTTGTGCTTGAATGAGCTTGAGCTCAGCTCGTGGGTAGATGGGCCATTGCCACCACTAAAAACAAAGGCTTATACAGTGAGCAAAATGATTTAGGTCAATTTTACAAAGTAATATGGACAAATGCCCTTAAACATGTTTTTGACTTCTTAACTCCATCTGTCTAAAAAATGTGAGATTCAATATGACATTTAATATTGTTTAGACAACAATGTAGCATCAAATGTTAAGTGATTTTCAATGCACATTCATTATGACAAAAGAACCACTTAATTCAAACGGTAACATGGAACAACATCAATCAGCATGCTATAACAAGTAGATATGAATCGAGAAGGTAACATGGTAGTAGAAGTTTAAAAACCTTTTGGAGAAATATAATAATCTCTTCAGTCAAAATTGAGATCTTACCTTCGAAGGATCGTTAGCTGTTTTTCGAAGCTTATCAGATAAACGAATATAGCCAAATGACCAGAAGACAGAGACGAAAGCAGCTGCAATACCACCAGCAGTTGCATAAAAGGTAGCTGGTGATGTAACCTTCCCAGTAATAACAACTGAAAATGAAAGGATCACAGCAGCAACAACCGTGCAAACTAACTGTCCCCAAAATCCTAAACCTCCCAATCTCTTGAAATACCTAGATGTGCTCTCTAATCTTTTTGAAACCTAAAAACCATCAGTCAAGCAGCAAACATCAACTCAAGGACTTTCATTCTAATTAAGAAATAAATAAGGTACAAAAAAACGTTACAGATCATTAAAAGGTGTTCAAAAGACACTCAATCCGAAGCTATAAAACTGAAATTCGTGAAACGAATTGTTTAACCAGAAATGCCTGCGTAGACTGAGCCATTTGGCTGAACTGGAATGAGAACCAACCACACCAGCTTCGATTGTTTTTGTTATTCCAATTCCAAGTCCAATGCAGATAATAACTTTGCTCAAAATTCAAATTAATATATTTTCTGTAATTTAAAGACTCAATTCTGTACTGATACCCAATTTATAACAAGCAATTGTCTGTTTAAAATACAAAAACCAGCAGTCGATAATCATATGTTACCCCCCAAAACCCTAAATCCTAAATTCAAACTAATAGAAATATATTTCTAAAATCCTAAATACAAATTTCGACTCAATGTCATAAGAACTTACACATACAAATATCGAAATGTTCACGCATATAAATATTTCTCATTGTGTAGCACTGAACATAGAGAAAGAGACCTGAGCTAGTTTGGCCTTTTCTGAATCGTCACTAGGAGAACTAGAAGCTGCAGCAATGGGGGAGGAAGCAAGGGTATTTCTACCATAATTTTTGAGAATCAAGTTGGGTGAAGATAAAAATTGGAGTGATTTTACTGAAGACAGAGATGAACGAAGGTTAGGCGTGGCGTAAGAGGAAATCAATGGGCGGTGGAGATAGCAGGGCAGAAACTTTGCTATCCTCGACGAGAACGGCGGAGCTGATAGTGCGACGCCGGAGCAAGCTGCCGGCGAGAGTAGAGTCTGCATAGCTTTAAAGAACAAACTTTTCGGTGAAGCAAAGAATGGCTTTTTATTCCATCATCTTTTTCCTTCGATATTTCGTCTCTTTAGTTTCCATTTTCAATAGTTAGTAGATTTTAATTAGGGTTACTTTTAAGTTTGACCACGGAGGACATTTCACTTTAAGAAAATCATGAATATTATTACATTGGCCACTTGAATGTTAAAAGACAAAGATGTTCTTAAATGTATTATACAATTATAAAACAATGTATCGTTAAAAAAGACTTTACTACCCTTTTAGTTAATAATTGAAAACCAAACACTTCCCCACTTATAAAACTTCAAAACGAGCTTCCAAATCAGAAAAAACTCTCATATTTCATCTGCTTGAACCTCAACATCTCAAAAAACGTTGAAACGCTGAAGTCGAAATTTTTTTTCATATCTATTTCTTCAAATCGTTAAGTATATTTACGCATGTTTAACTTCTTTTTCCGTAAATTAGTATACGTTTGAATAGAGAAAATTTATTTCGACATAGTAATAGTTAGTATTAATTTTTTTTGGCAGGTCTTACGTATGAAAAAAAAAATTGAACAGATCCATAATTTTTTTCTTCTACGTAATGCGGAAAACAGAAAAGTAGTAGGCTATTTGGCTGTGTGACTGTTGGCTGTTAAGGAGCCAAACAGTCGGCTGTTAACAGTCAACTGTCTATTGACAGCCGACTGTTGGCACTAATTTTTGTTGGCAATGCATTATTTTTTCTTATAATTAATAAATGAAGTTGATTAAATCCATTTCTTCATGCAGATATGATAATTCCCGTCTGTTATTTCGGTGATTTCGAATTGAATGAAAATAATCGGTGAGAATGGAGATGGACGAGTGACATACGTAGTTGTATTGCAATTCTCATAACAGAGAATCACCATACTTAGAAATGTACCACGATTTGCAAAATAAGTTGAATGTCGATCAATTTCAATACGATGTGCAATTGAGATATCTATTCAACGGTTATGGGGATTCATCCATTCCGATGCCACCGATATTCGTTACTAATAATGTTGAATTGAATTATCTATTAGAATTGAATAAAATGCATCGGACTCCGACTGCTCTTGGTGTGACTTTAATTACGAAGGATGTTATCGAAGGTGAACGCGAAGATTCAGATAGAGCGGATAACAATGATCGAGATTTTTGGGAGACAGTGGAGATAGTTCCTGCGGATGATGTGGTTATTCCTGAGACAGTTGCTTTTGATCGTGATGTCGCTGTTACGCGCAGAATTCCGTCGACGGTTGAAGACAATGAGAATATAAACGAGTTTAAAAATGAGAATTTGATTGCTTTATCCCGACAGAGACATGAGCCGGGTGGGAACTCACAGGTTGGAACAAGTGGACCGTCCTCCAATTCTTCCCGTGTGGCTCCTGATTATGAGAATTTGTATGTCGAGCAACTGTTTGAAACCAAGAAAAATTTGCACGAAGCTGTGCACCGGCTGAAATTAAAATATAACTTTAAATTCAAGGTAAAGAAATCAAACAAGTCATTGTTGATAGTTACCTGCATCGAAAGCAGTTGCAATTGGCGCTTGAGAGCAATGAAGATGAATACGAATGAGTGTTTCGTAATTCGTAAGTATTCACGGGAACATACTTGCGAAGTGGGAATTCTTCGAAACGATCATAGGCAAGCTCGAGCATGGTTTATTGGTCGACAGATAATGTACAAGTATCAGGACCCACAGACGATCTACAGACTTTCGGATATCATTAACGACGTCCGTCAAGAGTATGGAGTGGTAATGAGCTACCACAAAGCCTGGAAGGCCAAAGAATGTGCGTTGGAGGATTTAATGGGATCGACTAAGGAGAGCTATGCTAAATTGGCCAGGTATTGCCATAACATGGGGAGAACTAATCCTGGCACGACATTTTTTTATTGAGACGGGGGGCGATAATTGTTTTAAGTATTTCTTCATGACTCTCGGACAATGTATTCAAGGTTTTCAAAATGCAATGCGACCCGTAATTCTAGTTGATGGTACAACTCTGAAAACTAAATATCAAGGCAAATTAATTATTGCTACATGTCAAGATGCCAACATCCAAATTTACCCTATTGCATTCGGCATAGTCGACGGCGAGAATGATCTACCCATGCGTTGGTTCTTTTCAAAACTGAGGGAAGTGATCGGGAAAGTCAAAGACCCTGCCTTTGTAACCGATCAGGGACAATCTATAATAAACGGTATCGTTAAAGTTTTTTCAGAGGCACATCACGGGTATTGCATGTACCATATACAAGGTAATTTGAAAACTAGGTATCGGGGCAAATGTATCGTTTCATTGTTTAGGAGAGCAGCCGAAGCTTACAGTGCTGAAGAGTGTAATAAGTTTATGTTTGAGATAGAAAGTAAATCATTACCGGCGTTGGAGTATCTAACGAACATGGGGATCGAACATTGGGCGCGGTCATACTTTCCAGGACGTCGATACAACATGATGACGTCGAATAACGCGGAGTCTCTCAATGCATTGTTTAAGAAGGATCGAGAGTTACCAATTCTCACAATGATTGAGAATATTTGTGACAAGTTGCAACAGTGGTTTCATGACCGACGTGCGGCATCACAGAGTTACAGTAGCGTGCTGGCCCCAGCTCAAGAGGAGAAACTCTTTAAGGCAGCAGAGGTTGCGAGGAAGTTGAATGTGAAAGCACTAGATGAGTTCTGCTTCTCCGTGCAATGTGCACGTAATACGGCATATATGGTGGACTTGACTGATAACGCATGTACTTGTACGAGATTTCAATTGGAGAGTTTTCCATGTGAGCATGCAGTTGCAGTGGCCATGTATCGAGGCTTTGCAGCGAGAACGTTATGCTCTTTGTATTATACGACTAAGTCTTGGAGAACAGCATATGCGGAGACTATATTTTCTCTGCCGAATGAAACCGAGTGGGAAGTTCCAGAGCACATTCTCCCGTTTTATGATTTGTTGCCATTAGCAGTTGAACCGCGTGGTCCTGGACGTCCAAATACATCTAGAATACCATCTATCATAGAGTTTCCTCGACCGCATAGGTGTGGCAGGTGCAGAGCCATAGGGCATACTCGACAATTTTGTACCAGTCAAATTCCCCTAAATGACAATTAGACAAGTATGTTCAATATTTATTCTTCATAAATGTTCAATGTTCTATATTTATTCTTGATAAACGATATTTACAATGATTCACATGAAAAAATTAGTTCCATTCTCAGCATGTGTAAAATAACAAAAAATCAACTTATAGAAAATAATTATATACATTGAACACAAATTTACAATTATTTCATAATAAAAATAATAATTAAATTTATAATGTGAATATTATATACATCAAACACAAATTTACAATTATTTCATAATCACAAAAAATAATTAAATTTACAATTTGAATGTTACATATATTTAATACAAATTTACGAGTCACCATTAAATTCGAACAAATCACATGCTAGCTTCTTTCTCCAGTTCTGTATTCACGATTGGTTGATTCCATCAACCTTATATCCTATACTTGAAAATTCAACGTACTTAATGGCAAATATGCCGCAGTCGCCGCTACAATTGAACAAGAATGGATCAGTTCAGTACTGTATAGTTAAAAAACTAAATCTGAAAGATGAAAACAACAAAGTTCAAACACTTACCTTACGGACTGTCGCGATGTCGTCGTGTTCCGAACAATCTGCAGTCTGTCCTGTACAGTCATCCCCGCTTATCTGGCCATCATGGGAACAATTACAGCTATGGACTCCAAGTTTTGCTCCAACTGGCCTTGCATCAACATGAACGATCTGGGTCGTACACATATATAGTCATGTCAGCAAAAACGATCTCCAGCGTAACATAGTGCTTATTGATGCACGCTGGAATGTACATATGTGTACAACCCTCCCATGATTTTCCCCCGACACTCGGCGATAATCCTATGACCCACTCGAGCATATATTCGGGCACCGTGTACTCATTACCCATAAGTTGGAACGACTGATACTCTATGGTAACGGCACGCAGGAACTCGGTGTTTAATATGACTCGACCATGGACGTCAAATGATTTTGGATGTCTCTGAGCTCGATCTCGTAGCAAGTCCATGGCCAAGTCGATGTGCTGCATCAAGAAACACCAAAAAATTATTTGTTATTCATTTAATAAACACAAAATGACGTATACATACAAAACACGAAATGAATAGTTCACTTACATCGTCGGTGAGCCAAGCTCCCGAAGTCGTGATATCGTGGAACCACTTGTAAGCATCCAAGACCGTCCGGTTGCCTATCGTGCGGGTAGCTCTGAAAAAAAGGGAAATGTTAAAATAAGCATATACGAGTTAGCGTACAGTGCTTTATTAAAATCATACAATACTTACCCGAGAATAATTTTCCTTCACTCCGTCTCGAATGCTTTCCACTTGACATTGTCCACCTCTCTGAATAAGTTTGGGTGCGTCCCATCGATGAACATCCTCCTCTTGGCCTCAGCCGTGAAGGGGGAAACAACATACTGTGACGACACTCTCAACCTCTTGCCGACCACCTACTCCGTCTCATCAACAGCATGTCTCTTACCCTCAATCACGATGGGCGTCCTCTCGCCCTCCGGGGCCCCCTCCTCCGTCACCACCTCATCTGTCCCTCCCATCGAGGCCACCTCCTCCGTCGCCACTTCATCCATTCCCCCATCAGCGCCTCCCCCTCCATCGCCACCTCCTCTGCCCCTCCCATCGAGACCTCCCCCTCTGTTTCCACCTCCTCCGTCTCTCCCATCGGTGGCTCCCCCCAGTCTCCCCCCATCGGGGCCACCCTATCCCCCTTCATAGACAACCAGAATGACTCTAATGTCTCGTCATGCCAAAAATGTGGGTGACCCCCCTCTCAATCACCATCTCTGCCACCCTCTCGATCATCTCCACCATCCCCTCTGTCCCCTCATCGCCTAGCGGCTAAATCTCCTCTAAGTGTCGCTGCCGCATCCTGAAGGTCGACAACGCAAGACCGTAGCATTCCAACATCATGGGATAGATTGTCAACCCTCCCTGTCAACTCTCGTCCCCTATCGTCGACCCTCCCTGTCAGATAGTCGACCTTTCCCGTTAGATCGTCGACCCTCCCGATCAACTCTCATCCCAGATCATCGAACCTCTCTGTCAAGTCTCGTCGTAGCGCGCCGACCTCTTCCGCTATAAATCCAGTCAGACGGGCATACAAATCATCACTGTGTGTCGGCGATACACGGGGGACGTGTCTGGACGAGAGAGAAGGAGATACCCTCGACGGAGGCGATGTCAATGGCAGCGGCGATGCTCTCGACGGAGGTGATGCCAATGTTGACGTCGATGCCCTCGGCAGAGGTGATGCCAATGGTGGTGGCGATTCCCTCGGTGGTGGTGATCGTCAATCAGCTGGACCGCCCTCCTATATAAATAATATTAAAAATTATTCAATAAATTTATACGTCAACGATATTTGATAAATTATATTTAATTTACATACCCAATCTCAGTCCAGACTCGGATCAGACATCTCCTCGTCTTCGGTGTGCAGAACGCCTACATCCCGCACAAGACCCCAAGCCTTCTCTTCCATCAACGGCGTCAATTCAGGTATGACTTCAAGCTAACATATTGACATTTCAACTAGTTAACGATCATGTAAACAAATTTAAACTACGTATAATATAAATCACAAATGCATAATACTTACCTGAGGATCGTCGAGGAAGGCTGATAACTGTTTTCCAGAGGGACATCCCTCCGCTCGCGATGATCTCCAATGATGCATCCGAGGGCATCGTGTCTTCCCTCGCTTCGCAAAGTAGGCTCCCAGTGCAGGGACTGTCTCATACACCCAAATCTGCAACACATACACTTATTATGCATAAATATAATATACTAAAATTTTAACTTTAATTATATTAAATAATTACCTGCACTGCTAAGGGCAACCCATATGTATCGTATTTACGTATTGACCCCCTGGGCCTCGAGTGTAATTTGGTGAAGACATGTACGGTGTCTTCTTAGCGTCTCTGGCCCCATGGATAGTTGTTGAACGCATCAATGTCGTCAACAACTTCCAAATGAAAAATGTCGATGACAGTCTTCTTGGGATGACACCTCATCACACTCTCGAGGATGTAGACCAGGCCAAACTTCAATCTATCTAGCATCTGGTCGTACCCCCTAATCGCCACCATCAACTCGGGTAGATGCACTGACCTATATCCCTGGAAGTACGTCTCGTACAGCTTATTGCTTCTCTCAATGGCTGCATCGTCGCCCGTAATCCTCAATCCAGTGATCAAGCTAAACTCATAAATCGAGAAACTGGCGACCTTGCCCCCGAGGTCGAAGTGGAGGGAATCGCCGTCGATAGGCCTCAAAAGCCGACATAGAAGTGCATCGATGATCTGTCCTGAGTACAGCACCTCTCGCATCTGGTACAGTGGCCACAAGCATATCTCCGTGATGATCATCAAGCAGCTCCAACACCGCAGTAAAACTCTCAAAGCTACTATTCCAAGTAGCTTTCCCCGCCATCCGTCTCAACTCCCCATCTAAATGATACTCCATCCTACAAATATTCAAATGTTAGAATATTGAACAATAGATAATAAAGTAACGCATAATCTCAAAAAATCAAGGCAATCGAATTATAACTATCATACAATACGCAAGACATTGACGCTAATAACAAAATAAATTCAATGCAAATTTAAAAATTTAAATAATTTATTTTATCTTGTATATTACATTTGGAAAATATATTTACAAAAAAAATTTCAAATTAAATACATTTTAAAAAAAATAAAGAATATAAATTTTATTTAAATAAATTAGAACAAAATCAAAGATTATTTCATAAAAGAAAAATAAAAGGAACAAAATAAATTGTTAATTTCGGACAACATTATCTATTCAATTATTAAATTATATAAAAAAAGACAATTATAAAAAAAATTAACATAATTATTATTTAATCAAATTAATCTTGTAATCATTTAGAAAATATATTTACGAACAAAAAATTTCAAATTAAATACATTTTTAAAAAATTTTAAAAATAAATATATTATCTAAATAAATTTGAAAAAAAATTCAAAGATTATTTCATAAAAACAAAAATAAAAGGAACAAAATAAATTGTTAATTTTAGATAATATTCAATTATTAAATTATATAAATAAAAGACAATTATAAAAATTAAATAATTAAATTATATAAATAAAATAAAAGACAATTATAAAAATTAAATAAATAAATAAATAACATAATTATTTAATCAAATAAAAAAATAAATTAATTATAAAAATTAATAAAAAAATAAAAAAATTAAATACATAACAGTCACTGGACCGACTGTTAACAGTCAGCCCATGACTGTTTAACAATCAGCCCATGACTGTTAACAATAATTGGGCCGACTGTAGTCTGGACCGATTGTTAACAGTCGGTCCATAGACTGTGAACAGTCGGGTTGATCCGACTGTTAACAGTCGGTTACCCGACTATTAACCGAGGGTTAATAGTCGGATCAACCCGACTGTTAACAGTCGTCGTCTTCCCGCAGTCTTTCGCCATTGTCGACGATGGAGAGGTCCAAAAATTACAAAAAATTCACATTTTTCACCCCATTCATGACCCACAATCTAACAGCTTTACAAGATGCATGAATTTAAATCGAAAAAACGTAAAAATAATGAATCTAAAAACTGAAACTTTTAATAAACTTCGAGCGCCAAAACTAATCAGAATAGTAGCGTGTAGGTCGTCGATTGAACGTTGGTGTTTTCGACCGATGGTTGATTGGTCGTTCTTCAGGCAATTGGCGTCGATTTTCTTTGAAGGTCTGTCGGTGGGTTTGGATAACTTTGTAATAGTCTGTGTATAGTGAAGGGTAAAATCGTCCTTTTAGTGTAAACTTATATTTTAACTTTTTTTTTATTCATTTAATGGGTTAAAGGCCAATGTTAAAATTTGTTATAGTCCAAAGGTCATTTCCATGTATTTCCTCCAATAGGATAAAGTGTAGAAACCACCCCCAATATATATCCCTTTTACATTTTCACTCCAACCTCTTTTTCCTTTTTTCTTTTAAATATAAAAGCTTCTCAACTAGGCGCAAATGGTCATAAGTGACTATTTTCATCGAAAACTACGGTTAAATTTGATATAAATTATTGGTAAATTCCACAAAGTTTTCACTCTAATAAGTGTAGCACTTACGTCCCCAACCTCTTAAAATTACAGCACCCATGTCCCCATCTAATAAAAATGTAAACTTAAAACGATAAATGGTTATGTTACACTCACTCAATGTTGGAGTGTGTTGAAATAAGGGGATAAGTTTCATGAACGCTGAGGAACTCTACCATATTCGATTTTTTACCTAAAAGTTGAAAACATTGTTAGATCGTTTTTGGAGCTAAGGAACTCTTTTTGAACAATTTTACCCTTTCAATTCATCAATGAGGGGTCATTTGATTATTTAGCCCCTATTTGAGCTCCATTTTGATAAGAAAATATATTTTAAAATAGTGATTTTTTAACCAATTTACAGTTAAAAAGAAGGGAAAAAAATGTCGATTTACATGTAAAATTGAAGAATGTGTGATTAAAAATGAATTTTGAACAAATAGAAGCCAAATATGGGCTTAATGTTCAAATGAGCATTTTTTGCTAGTTAGAAAACAATAGGGTGCCACTATTGTTGGTGATTAGAACGAAAGGTTGGCGACCTCATTGGATTTTCTTGGCCCTAGGCCTTCTAAAGCTCAAGCCCGAATCCAGAACAAATGTTGTATATAATATTTTGGCTCTGCCTTCTTTGATGGATTGTGATATTATCAAAGACTGTACTTGAGATGACCTGGTTCGAGTTGAAAGAACACAAGGAATAATTACCAACGTACCCTTCAAACAACTTGAAAAAAGTTGGTAGAGTTGTTCTTGTCTCTTAGATGCTTAAGTCAGAAATCAGTTGGAGAGAAAACTATATGCATGAGGCTATAAAGTAGACAATAATGAAAATTGTACCCTAAATAATGACTAAGGCATGAGTAGATAGGAAGAGTACAAGGGTTGTAATCCAACCAGGATAGAAACACATGTGAGGTAACAAGGAGACTAGATAACTTGGACCTCCATTGGCCTTAAGACTCTCGAACTTAGGAGGCATGACGAATTAGGTCTTCTTGCCATGGCAGGACTGTAAACCTCATCTGAAACCATACAAAGTCGGTCATCCAAGTCAAAAAGGAGATAGGTCCACTGATTAGTGGTGAGGTCAAGGTCCTTGTCCTTGCGGAAAAGACCCTGCCCTCGGGGATTAAAGTGTGATGCACGTCGGGCCTCTAGCTCAAGCACTTAAAGGTCAACCCTAGATGTTATGGTATCATCAATGACCCTAGTGCACCAAAAGTCAGGCACAGGGTAAGCAGGGCCGGCTCTAATATTTTTGGGGCTTTATACTAATTTCAAATTGGGACCCTATATTTTGAGTGTTCTTGTATAGAGTTTTAACTTATTTGATAGAGATTAAGTCCTTATTTGAACCTCATTTTTTTATCAAAATATATTTTTCAATAATGATTTGACACCATTTCAATCACACATTTCTCAATAAAATAATATTACACTCAAACTTAAAATTTTTTCTTATTTTTTAACCACACATTTTTCATCGTAATACTATTTCGAAATGCATTTTTTTTAGAAAAATAGGGCTCGAACAACCCCTAAAATCAAAATTTTAGTAGATTTTGATAGAAGTAGATTAAACATGTGTATTTAAAGTTTTGGAATCGATAAAATATATGGTTAAAATTAATTGTTGATTTTGACTTAAATTAAACCTAGATAGATTTTAATCGATGCCAAACACGGGCTTAATGTAATTATAAAGACAACTATGTCCC